GGCACCAGCCTGTTGGCTCTGGCATCATAGGGGTTCTCATATCCTATCCTTCAACGGTTGACTGAACACAGGGAGAGGCAAATCTGTGAAAACTAAGCTAGGTTCCGCCCTGTAAGGGTATGCCTCGATCGAATCTTCGCTCTCCGACAAATTCTGGAACATAGACACTGCTTTCAGCAACGAACAATGGTTGTATTTCTTGATCTGAATGCTGCCTTTGACCACAGGCACTATGGCAGTCTGGAGCAAAGGTGTCCCCCATAAATTCTTGACCCTCCTTAGGGCGCTGTACGCCAACTCCCGCGGCCGTGTGAAGGTCTGCGGCAAGCTCTCTTCTGAGTTCACCACATCAAGTGGTGTCAGACACGGCTGTCCTCTTTCGCACGTCCTCTCCAACCTCGTCATTGATACGATCATGGAAGACTCACTGTCGGCTTCTAGTGCCTGTAGGGTCGAAGTGCTCCCGGGGCTTCTGCTCACAGACATTGAGTGCCCGAACAAAATGGCCCTTCTTGGATATGACGCCTTGGTAATGCGACTTGTATTAAACTATCTAAATAATTCTGCCGCACGATTTAGCATCAGCTTCACATCTGCAAAGTGTAATGTGACGCTGCTAGGCTGGGCAGGCTTGAACTCTAGCCTCATGCTTATGGATGAGCTGATTGAGGTAGCAAACAAGTTTATCTACCTGGGATGCTGTATTAGTCCAGGTGGCCTCACGAAAAAACGACATTTCCATCCAGTTAGGATAAACCTTCGTGAACCGGCGTCACATGTAGCCTAGGCGTGACATCACTTAACCGTCAAGGGCCGAGTCTACAGTGCTGCGGTGCGCTCCATATCACTATACGGGTCGCTGCCCGTCGAGGATGTCAAGACTGTGCTTGACCGTCGATGTCTTCGGAGGATTTTCCGAGTCTGGTGGGAGCACCAGACAATCCTGAAGTACGTCGAATGTTATTCGGAAGAAATAACTTACCCTCGATAGATGAACTGATCACACTGCGCGGGTTGCGCTGGCTTTGCCACGTGCTACGCACGCCGGTCGACTGACTTCCTCCTTTTGCAGAGCCACATGAAGGGCAGAAATGGGCCTGAAGAGGTCAACCAACGATTTGGCAGCGAAGTGTGAAAGCCATTACCAGCAAAGTCAGCTGCGCCGATCATTGCCATTTCCCTGCATGGGGACCCCGACAGGGGCCACTTAAGTGCTTAGAGCCATTGTGAGTTATGGCCCGATCGCGCCATCAAGGGCGCTCATGCATCTAAGCTACTACATTCATTGCAAAGATCCCTTCCAAATGCTCCCACCCAAAAGTCCAGTGACAACTGTATTTACGCACCAACTTATCAGCTCCCGCCTCCCATGCACATCTGTCTTCCCTCCTCAAATCATCGGTGCACTGTGGCAGCTGGAACTACTGCACGACAATTGCGCGGTTTTTTACAGCCAATAATGATGTTGATGCTTCTAGTGCGCAGCTACTTATCCCATCTCCCGAAATCATCAGTGAACGAAACTGTGGCAGCTGTGACCACTGCGACAAATACGTGGTTGTTGCAGCTGATGATGATGATGTTGAGTTCTGCAGTAATGTGACGCAGATGAGTAAGCGATATAAATAGATAGGAATAGCGAGTAGGGAAACAATTGAACATGGACCAAGGCAAACAGGTCCACGCTTGTTCAACATGACCACTGGTGTTACAGTCATTCTTCTCTGTACTTCAGCTGGAAGTCGGATGACACCCGTAGTGTGACGAAGTCGCATTCAGTTTATGACCCATTGCGAATGATGAGCTATGCTGCTGTGAGGTGGGTGTTCCACTCTGAAGGTCGATTGTATGGGCAGCTACGATCGCGCCCTGTCTTCAACTAACTTCCTCAGGTTGTATCGCTTGGGCGGTAGTTTCGACTGACTGGAACTTGAGGTATAAAGGAAGCTAGTAGACGATAGCTTGAACGATAGTATGTGCACTCAAATCCAACGCTGGTGGCATCTTCGTGGGCGTCTCATACCAGTTGATGTTTTCTAAGTGAATTCGTTGAAGGTAGTCTTGACAGGACGTTTGGTGGGAATATGTACAATCCCTGTCCAGCATCATGTAAAATCAGGTCATAGATTAAACAGTGCAGTGCTCAGCGCCATTATGTTAGCTGTGCTGTTGCTCCAAGCAAGCCAGTCAGTTGTGGTTATCGTTTGTCGGTAGCTGCTTCAGCTTGCGAATGAACACTAACTTTGCAGCGAATTAGCACTGGAACTAGGAATCTCCATACGGAATGGTTATGCGCATTACAGCGAACTTTTGAACGTACGTTGTGCGGAAATCTATTCCCAGTCGATCCCTGGTTTTCGGGAAATGCGATATGTTATTTTTTTAGCCTCAGTCGTTTAGTACATAGATTGTGTCTCGTATTATCTGAATGCAACGATTGCCATTTTATGGTCGCATTTGTCGCTCGTAATGCTTTCATTTATGCAGATTTGAAGTATCGGGAGTCAAGTGCGAAACTACTGACCAGAAGCCCCCCTCTGGGTTTGAGCAACCTGGCAGCGTCTTAGCCCTTGTGGTGCTTTCGGGTTACACGGCAGTTGTGCACTGAAATGATGCCACGGCTTGATGATTACCGTTCTTATTGCTATTGTTATTGATTATCATTTGGACATTTCAAAAGATTCAGTGATAATCTCTCTTGGCATATTGATGTGGCAGTCCGGAAGAACCTTGCTGTGTCGTAACGGATTATGTTGTATAATAATGTTAGAAGTAAATCCATGAACTGTGTAAATGGTACAACTAAGCGAATAGCCAATTAGCAGAAAAAACAGCAGAATGTACATCCAATGAACAGCTACGTGCCCTTCGTTCCCCTTGCCTAGTCATCTGGAAGCGATAGTGCTCGAAAGAGTGGTTCTTGACAGTCTACATAAATCCAGTTTGGACTGAGTACTGCGAGTCACAGAATGCAATTACTGGGCCCACGTTCGTACTGACAAGCTTACGGAAGCAGGAACGGTTCAGTCACTCGCGGCAAAGAAATAGGATGTAAGCAGACAGTTGTGGATGGGAAGGGGGCGAGATGGCCCAAGTGGTTAGAGCGCGAATTTACTGACCGGAAGGTCCGTGGTTCGAACCTGACCTCTGCCACTCGACTTTCCCTGTCTAGGCCTGGGCGACCTGGAAGTATCCCAGCCCTCGTGCTTCCTCCGGGTGGCATGGCAGCTAGGCACCGGAAGGGTGTTACAGCTGAACAATTATTATTTATTATTATTGTTGTGGATGGGAACTCCCGCGAGCCTCTCTGTAGATGTTTGATCTTTTGAGGAACAGCATCAGGGTTAATAAGCGGAACAGTGTTTCTAGAAAACACATCGACGGTGCACAGGGGGTAGTGTAGGCGGAGTGATGTAGGAACACTTGATGATGATGTTCAGAGCATCTAAGTGGAGTAGACATAAGTACATTTAGTAGGGCTGTTGCCGCCACGGTCTATGATGCGAGTAGGACAAGTTCAGATCTTTATTAAAAGCGGATCATGGCGAGGCTGCCGACCTGGCTGTTAGCTTGATCGCTGGCTTTCGAGAAGGCAACCCATTCGGCTTCATGAACGCCGAAGCCAGCAACAATGCAGAATCCAGCAATGTAGTACACCCGGTGAGGGCGTCCCCAGTTGAAATTTGAGGGCGAGTGTTGAGGAAATGAGCAATAAAAGCGACCAGTTTGAGCAAATGGATAGAAAAAGGGAGTGGAAAATTGAAACGAACACAAATGGCTATCCTACAACTTTAACACCCTTTCAGTGCCTAGCTGCCATGCTACCCGAAGGAACCACGAGAACTGAGATACTTTACTTCGTATGCCAGGACCGTTTGCCTCGTAATGCCCCTCTTCGCTCAGCTTGGTACCGGATGGAGGCGACTGAGATGCAGTCAGTATATTACTTGGCAACGAAGCGTGAAGGCCCTCAGCAGTTAATTGGGTCGCGTTTGTAATTACCATCTCTCTGAGATTGGGATTGCGAGACGTGACGAACCAACAGTTGGTGACCATAACAGGTATGGTTGCTTCACGCAGCCAGTACCGGTCTCGTATCAGAGCTGTCGTCTTTACTGCATGAACCTGGACAAACAGGTCCATCTATCCTGAATGTGCAGACTGGACAATCGCCTCCAATGAACGGCTCTCATTCCTTCATTCTCTTCCTCATTGGTGAACGAAGCTGTAGCAGCTTAAGCCACCATCTCGGTGCACGGTTTGTGGCTAAAAACTAACAGGTTGTCCATGTCACCAGGTGCTGACCGCTACAGGTCCATTTAACAGGATGTGCGATTAGTACTTCAGAAGGATACTTTTCCGGCCGCATGACCGAGTATACACTTGGTGTCTCACTTCAGTATAATGACTGGTAAGCTGAACGGAGTGGTGCCTAGACCTCGGAGAACACCGAGTCTCACACTCGTGTGATTTCCCTGAAAGCACTCTTTATATAGGTTATTACCTGAAAGCTTTGATGGTTTTATGGAGGCGGTCTTTATGCGTAAAAACTTCTAAAGGAGTGTTATAGCACACCATTAGCCTCAGTGCTTTGCTTTACCAAGTGAAGTGAAGTAAACCAGTGTCTGCTCGCAAGGCTACTTCAAGTGTGCCCCAAAGAAGACCATCCAACTGAGACCTCTCCCTCCTCAGTGGTCTTTGTTGAGAGCGGATACAGCACATGATTTTAGCCCAGTGCAACTTTTTCGACCCTGGTGTTGCTGTCATTTATCATGGTTATATAATAGCACTGCAAGGTGTACCATAAAATTAGCCACCCTGCGGGTGATACACACGATATCTGGTGTCTATCCTTTGATTCTTACTGGTACTCCGTTTTTCTATGCTCGTTTAGTGCCGTACGTTGGCGAAACGGTTTTGTTTTTTGTTCTGTTGAGGCGTTTTGCCACACACAAGGACTGGTCAGTCATCTGATGTATATATTCTGATATCCTTTTTAGCGGTTCGACAGTATGGGATGCAAGTTGTTGGAAAGCTCCAAGGAACTCGCCGCCTGCCACCTCCAGCTTGGGTCCCTAGTATTAAGGCCGAAAGTGGTGGACTTGACAGCCGGGTCGCGCTGGTTCCCCCGGGTGGGAGTGGGTGGGGTGCACCTGCAACCAGTGAATCTGCACCAACCCAGGCTAGTAGTTCTACGACCACGGAGGTGGGCAGCCCTGCGGTCACGACTGCACTTTCCTCCATGAACGGGACTCTAATGCGCGATGCTCTCGGCACTTCTTTTGAACCTGCTTATGCACGATCGCATTTTGGACCCGCTACATCTACCACAGTTGCTTCCGCTGTGGAACCAACCATTACAAAAAGTAAGTTCTGAATTAACTCTTAGGATGTATTCGTTCTTGCTTCGAACGCATTTCGACAAACACCACAACTCTTGGTGGATGCATCCACGCCCCTCGACACGCGCTGCCTCCTTGGCTATACATGGTACATGCTCATCAATGTTTGACAGAGCCAAGGATAAATTAATTGTTCGAAGGACAATCCAACTGTCGAAAGCGCCTACCGAAAGTCTTTCTTGTTAGAGCCTAGTCACAGCAGTCGGTCTTAGCTTTTCCCACTATTCCCACTCTTAATTGAAAAATTCAGAAGTCGCTGATCTCTTTCTTTGGAAAAGCTTTTCACCTCTTTATTCCTTAGCTCTTTGTCAGTTTACCAATCTTCCAATTCGCTGTCTGTTATCAGTGCGAAAAGTGTTCTTCGTTTCCTACCGTGAGTCAAACTAGCGAATCCAAACCACCCGGTTTGGATTATATCCCTCCAAGCCTATGCTCTTGAACTTGTCCCGGTCGTTTCAAAGTTCCTTCATCTAGGTTATTATCCTTTGGTGTTTCTCTTCCGTATTGGTGTTTCCTCCATATTCTCAAGTGTAGCTTCCACTCCGATCCCACCAACCACTGACCGTTACTCCCGTTTTGTCCGAACTTCCTGAAATAATGCCACCGCGCAACTCCACAGACTCGAAATTAATGCCCTTTTGAGTAACCGTCAGCATCGTTTCGGGCATCGTCGCTCTATGAATATGCTGGATTACATGTCACACTTCATTATCCCCTCTGGACTCTTGTTGAACTGAATTCGCTTGCGCCCGAAATGTCGAAGCCTGTTGAGTGGGTAAACTCCTCATGTAGTGGCTGAATTCAAACTTGATTGTTCACAGAGCAAGTCAGCGCCTGTATTCCCCAGGGATCTGTTCCCTCCTGACATTGCTCATCTATGTGGACACTCTTTTCTACCGTTACTTCTACCACTGCCTTCCCAGACGGTACCACTCTGCGCTTCTCTTTCTCCTGTCGCCCCGGCTCCGCTTCACTTCGACTGTACGACAACCGAACACGGGCATTACTACCTTGAGCACCGATCCTACCAGCCTTATTGACTAGGAATTTTGAAACCAACAACGTTTGACTTCTTTAAGTCCCTCCACGTATCCATCTTTCATAATTTCCATTCTGACCTAAGTTCCTCGATGGGATGTACTACTGTTCACCTGCTTTTCCTTTTTTCGACCCATCTTTTATTGATGATTTATCCTAGTTCTCACATGTGTCCGGTCTTCCGAATAGAGTATGATCATGTTTGACTACGGCTATGTTGGATCCATTGCTTGAGTCTTCGTTAGTGTCTAAGTGTTGTGTTTTGGTTTCCATCATAGATACCTCCTCAGGAGAGTCTGGATGGTTCGAGCGTCGATTGGACAACTGTGGTTGGGGGAGTTGTTGACTCTGTGGTGGCTTGTGTTGTGGGTTTTGTTTCTTCCTCTTTTTATAGGTCGTGTCGGAGGTTTGGTTGGAGGTTCGGAGGGAGTTTGTGATACAGTAGTTGGTTCTGGTATTTGTCTGCTTGGTGGTATCGGTGTAGTTCTTGGATAAGTCTTGTTTCCAGTTGATGTAATAGTTCACCGGTTTAGTACCCCATATGTGTTTCTTCTGATAGTGATTTTGTCGGCGGGTGCATGTAGCTTCCTAATTTGATGTTTAAGGAGTTCAGCTACTCGCCATTTTAGATTCTTGAGTGCGTCAGCTAATTCTATACGATATCGTCTGTCGTACGAGTATTTGTCCCATGCAGCTAGGACAGCTTGAAGTGAGAACTCCTATGCGAATTTCCTGACAATGGTCTGCTAATACTTTGCTACAGTGTTATAGTTGTCTTTTATGTAAACAGCGATATCTAATACTGCCATAGGGTGTGTCGGTAATCCGAACATAGCCCAGAATAATTGTTGGGCGCTTGTTAGTTTGGCTGCCCATTCGGACGCTAGGAAGTTTTGCGAGTACAGTGCCTGTATTGCTGTTTGCCACTCATCCATCTTACTAATTTTAACCCATTCTTAGTATTTATAGAGGACTTTGGTAGGAGTATAGGAGTAAAATTTTACAGATTTTTGAAATGCCACTTACGAAAATGGCATGTACATAGTTTACAAGGGGGCAGGGATAGTTCGTCACCTCCAACTGGAACGTGAAATTTATAATAGGAGCACCGTTCTTCAATTGTTTTCGCATCTTTTCTGAGAACATAGTACGTTAAGTCATTCTTTGTAGTGATCAGTACGGGTAGGCGGGTTAGTCTTTAGTCTTTTTGGTGCTTTACGTGAATGTCAAATGCATTGCCTCCCAATAGTTCTTTAAAATCATTGACTATGAGTTGAGTAATTCTAGGTTCCTCCATTAGGGCAAGCGCCTTATTGAGTAGATTTATGAGGAAGAATTGTGAATAATCTCCCGATCGTTGAACCGTCCCATAGATATAATTTTCAGCTATTAATTTGACGAACAGTGTTTTCCCAGTTGTGGTCGGTTCTTCTACTACAAAGGCGTTCTTTCAGTGTATGTCTTTGTTCATTATGCGGGCCAGGTTGCATAAGAAGTCTTGCTTATTGATTTTGTTGACGTAAAACAATAGATCTAGCCTGTGTTCTCCGTCCCTGGTGTCTTTCGGGTGTTGACAGTCGCGATTGTGACTGTTTGTTGGTTTATGATCCTCAAAACGCGAGGTTTGTTGTTCGGTAAGGATTCTCATCATGTAGTTGGATATACAGTGTTCCGCCGTCTCTCTCCACTGCGGTCCATATTCACCATATATGTAGTCCCTTTCGTCGTAGGTTAGTGCTAGACTTAGTCCGTTGAAGCTCCGTGCGTCATAGGCCTCAATCAGGTTTCTCAGCAGGTCAAGACGTCTCTTTCTGGTCATATAACTGTTTTTGTCTCGCCCCTTTTTCATCTCGGAGTAGAGTTGCACAGTTCTTTCGTTCCCTCGGGATGTACACATCTCTCAGTTGTTCTGATTTCTTGCCTACACAATTGATCGGTCTGTGGGCCACCCGGACTAAGTATGTCGCAAAGTTATTCCAGTTGATGACAGATTGAATGGTTGCCATAATCAACTGTCTGTCTTTTATCTAGGTTACCACTGTCGATGAGCCTCTATTGTCCTATTCTTGTTCTGAGAACAGGATTCAAATACAAAGTGGTAGTGATTCCCGTGGTCAACATACAAACGGTTGGCTCGTGAGTTGCGACTAAACCGTGTCGGCTGACCTCGATAGATAGAAGTCCATAACTTGTTGTTGTCTGTCTGACTGGGTTCTGGATTGAACAATTGTCTTCTTTTAGAGTGCCATCCCCTCGGCGTAAAACAAGTTACCATTCCCTGCTCCCGCTGTGAAGCACGCATCCTCTGGACCGGTTGAAATCGTGCCCTCCCTTGAGCGTTATCCCTCAGGGGACACTTTTGTAATTTGTTGTCGTCTTAGGGACCGAACAGAAAGATAGCAATCCGGCATCTTTGTTGTCAATTGCCTTGTTAATGAATGTAACGACACGGGTATTTAACCGTTGTCAATAAGAGAAAACACTTGAAACAAACTAACTAAAAATGCAGGACGATTTCAGTGTGCGATATTGCTTGGTTGTGATTTCCGGGAGTGTGCTCTTTCTGCGTCCTTTCTAAGTTATCTGGTTTTCATATGGTATCTAAACCCCTTGCCTTTTGTTGACACAAGCTTGTCGAAGGGTACTCTAAAACTCTGAAACTCGATTACAACTCGAAGTCCATGCTCCACAGTACTAGACAAAACCATTGATATACCTTCACAGAGGTGTACTCACTACTCGCCTTGAAGAGTGCCGCATTTTTCATGGTATTCAAATCGAAACGGCGTTTCAAGTAGGACGGTGTTGGAGTATGATACTGCGCTTAGTGTATTTGAGTCCAAGTTTTCTACCATGAAGCACATACACGGATTGCGGTGTTACATCCCACAGAATGGTCTTGTTAGTGCTTTATGCAATCCCGTTGATACATAAGCGGTTCTACAATGTCTGTTTAACATGTGTTGTTTAACAGTCATGTTTCGTTAGACGTGCCTTGTACTTTACGGAAGAATGAATCACCAGTTTCAGCTCAGGGCCCCAGATACTACGGATTCGAGTACAGCGGTTTTTGCGAACAGGATTTTGTGTTTTAAGGCCACTGCACCCGCTGAAATCTTGATGTTGTTTTACAGTTTATTTGTAACGTTTTATTGCTCACCCCATTGTTTTGCCCAACTTTTGTAGGCCTTAACGCGTGGACGGCGTTAACAGAAGAGGGCAAAGTGGTTACCGAACACCGGGACACGGAAATGATAAGTACTCCTGGCACAGGTACCGGAGAAGAGACAACTACAACACTACCACCGTGGGCTCCACGAACCCAAGCTACTGGTGGTCTTGCGGCGAACAAACCGTTCTTCCAAAGACCAACCCCGGTAGGTAGATTAAAATAATCATCTGAACCTATCCCTTTTACCATGTACGACGGCCATGTTCCTTGCGAGAACTGCTCTCTTTGGTCGCGAAACGATCCATTATGGGGCCGATTGCGATTATTTTCAATGTCTACTTTGCCCACAGGCTAATGTTGTTAACCTTAGTTTTCGTTCAGAAACTACTTGGAACGTATCTGTTCAGGAAGATTTGGTAAATAATCGGTTTATTTATTTCTGTGTAACGTTTCGCGTTTGACAGGAACGCTTCAGGCCAACTGGATAAGTTACGTGGTTGACCGAATGTTAAGGTAAGCGGAGAACCAATCGGCAGGATCTCTTACAACCAGGCGACTTGATCGCTACTGAGTACCAGTCGGAAGTCCATGTCTGTTGGTTGGTGTGGATGATGAACACTTACGGCACATGGATTAATTGAACTTATAATCAAGTTAGGTCAAGATTTTGGCGCTTTGCTTTTTAACTTTACTTTAATGGGAATATTCCTTTTGGCTGTCATTCACAGGTTTTATTGGTGTTAGGGGTGCTAGGACAGTCGACTGTCGTTGACGGACTTCAGTGGGTTTTGTACTTTGAACCCAGAGCATTTCGCTGATAACCGCACGCCATCCCATCTCATCTCGGCTGTTCTAACACCGCCCTACACAAGCATGATAATTCTACACCCCCTATTCTGTTCACACTGGGATGCCTGGCAATTTCGACCCTCTCGACCATCACTTGCGCCGGTGTGAATCTTAGCCCTCGTAAAAAATTCAACATTTTCCAAATGTTCTGTGTAAAGTGCATGTCCTTTCATTGATGAGCCACATGATATCACCTGATATTCATCTACGTTTCTTGGTGGTCCTTTGATGCACCGCTTGTGCTCAGCGATTCTGATTTGTTTGACCTATGCAGACCTTGCAGTTCCTATATCTTATTTTGCTTACACGGTCCCTGGTGCTACCGAACACGAAGCAGTCTTTCAGTTGCAGGAATATTGAGCGTAAAGTTTTCCTTTCGGTTGTTCACCGTATTCCACTGATAACTTCGGATTTCCTTGTTTTGTGTGGGAGGACTGCTGTTCCGACTCACTGCTTGCTGGGTCTTGGCGTTGGGACCAGTACCCATCTTTATCATTATTAAACCCACTGGGTAACCGGTGTGCTGAACTTGCTTTTCGCTCCAAGTTAAGCTTCTGTTCGGTCGACCTCTCTGTATGGTGCTCCTATTCGACTAAACATCGCTGGAATTATACTAGCTGCCGATGTAATGAGTAGCTCAAACCTCACCAGTATCTGTTGGTTTCCGGTGAACATTCGTTTTTAATCTCCCGCTACTCTTGTGTGTCATGTAACCCGACGTATCATCCGACGTCAGGTGATCCTGAGTGCCCATGCAGACCGTAAAGTTCGGTGGACCCGAAAGACTGAAGAAATGGAAGACGTAAAGGGTGCTGGAAACGTCCGCAAACTGTTCCACTTGATTCGTTCGACTGATCCTTGTAACCTTTTCGTCAGTCAAATAATCACGGACCGAAATAGCTCCCTAATATGCAGCAAAGCAGGTCTTGACTGCTGAGCGCTATACTTTGAGCAGCAATTCAGCTGGCCACTTGCTACTTCCAATCCGAAACCCTGGTCTTCAACGGAAAGGTGGATTGTGAATACGGAGCCGCCTTCAGTTTCAGAAGTGTTCAGCGTCATCGTGCTGCGGGTACTGGCGATCTGTTCAAGAATGGCGGTTCGCTTCTTTGCCAGTGCCTATCTAGCCTACCTGGGAGACAACCAGACAACCGGGGTGAATCGATAGTAGTACCCATTTTCAAAGAGGGTACTCACAGTGAATGTAATAACCTCAGAGGTGTTAGCTTTACTCCTGTTCTCATAAGGCTTCTGGCGTCACTGATTCTCCGTCGTCTTATGATGGCACGCGAAACCTTGACTCGTGAGAATCAATTGGGATTTCGACCGGGTAGAGGCTGCGTTGACCACATCTTCACACACCATCAGATGTTAAAACAACGCATATGTACAGACGACCCACGATCCTGGTATTCCTTGACTTAAAGGGTGCGTTTGATTCTGTTGATTGATCAGTACTGTTAACTACACTTGCTCAACAGGGTATGCCCCAGAAGTTTGTAAACATAATCCGATCCCTATATTCACATACTTCTGGGCTGGTGGGTGTGTGGTAAACTCTCCTAAAGCTCCCGTTCAAAAAGTGGTTTCAGACAAAGGTGTCCGCTCTCTCCATTCTTGTTTAACTTCGTCATTGGTGAGCTAATGAGGCGAACGCTGGACGGTCTTCAAAACCGCTCAAATCGTTGACGGTGAGAACCTTATCGACCTGGAGTACGCAAACGATATTGACCTCATTTTTGAAGACCAAGGTGAAGCACGGGCGAGATGGCCCAGTGGTTAGATCGCGAATTTACTGACCAGATCCGTGGCCTCTGCCTCTCGACTTCGCCTGTCTAGGTTTGGACAACCTGGCAGTATACTAGCTGTCGTGCTTCGTCGACGTGACAGACACCGAAAGGGTGCTACAGCTACAAGCTTTTTTGAATAGACTGGCCACCATCGTTCCATCTTTTGGCATGCGCCTTGCACCTTCAAAGTGCAACGTTATGCTCCAGGACCAGCAGTCTCTGAACATACCCCTTAAGGTCCAAGGAGAATCATTGGAGGTTGTCGAAGGTTTCACATATCTCGGTAGTTGTCAGCTCCGACGGAAATGTGTTTGGTGAAGTCAGTGTGAAAATCTCAAGGGCTCGAATCACTTGGTAATTTGCGTCACGTGTGGCGTCAAAAGGCATTGATTGCATCACAAGGGTTGCGTGTACCAGGCCACAGTAGACTGTTGTTGTATGGGTGCAAAACGTAGCCTCTGCACTACAGATGTTATGAGGCGTCTTCAGGTTTTTGACCACCGATGCCTCGGAATTGTTGCTGGTGCTGGATGGCGTCAGCGGATTAGTAACGAGGCGATTAGAGAACGGGTATTCGGTTGCACAGAAGGTGCATCAATCGCGGTAAACATCCAGTACCATCAACAGCGGTGGCTTGTTCATCTTCTACGGATGCCGGAACACCATCTAGCAAGACGAGTGTTGTTCTCCGTGCCTCTCAGAATGGCTAACGTATGACTTGACAGAAGAGTGTGAAAGAGATAATGAGGAATTTGGGTGTCGTTGGTGTTATACATCTTCCAGGATGGGATCCCCATCACCCCGCTTGTGCTCGGCTGGAGACATTGCAAGAAATGGCGGTTGGTCGGTTTAGGTGGCGTTCCTGTTGTCAGTTTCCAGATTGTTCGATTGAGCGCTTGGAGGTGTAAGTATAGGATGTGAATCACTGACTGCCGGTCCTTGTGGAACACATTTGTTGACTCTGACCACGCGCTCGTCCGGAGTCGCTCCTTCGTTTTCATCTTCCAGGATGGGATCCCCATCACCCCGCTTGTGCTCGGCTGGAGACATTGCAAGAAATGGCGGTTGGTCGGTTTAGGTGGCGTTCCTGTTGTCAGTTTCCAGATTGTTCGATTGAGCGCTTGGAGGTGTAAGTATAGGATGTGAATCACTGACTGCCGGTCCTTGTGGAACACATTTGTTGACTCTGACCACGCGCTCGTCCGGAGTCGCTTCTTCCTTCGTTTTCCAGGGCCGTGTAAGGTACGGACGAATCGCTTGGCGAACTTGCCAGAATCGTTTTCTACAGTCTCTTCCAAAGGTTCCACCATAAGATAAGAACTCATACTGGGACAGTATTGCATAATGCTGGGAATATCGCTTGTGGCACGGCACCACCAGGCTCACTCAAGCACTGGATATCAGACCGAATGGTTGCACTGTTAAATTTCAGAAATATCCCAGCCGGCCCGGAACATGACTTGCTGCGGCGAATCATCGGACGTCAAATGAGGGTGAGCATACAAGCGGACCGTGAAGTATGGTGGACACAGAAAGCCAAAGAAATGGAAGAGGCCCCGAAAGTTGGTAATACCCGGAGATTATTTCAGTTGATCCGTGCGACCGGTCCCCAGAAACCATCAAGGATCAGAATAGAATGAACTCGAATATAGAAGAACGCCTCTACCGATGGGCCGAACACTTCGAACAACAATGTCATGGCCAACCAGCTGGCACCTATCTGGAGCCTATTAGTGCACAGGTGACGATAGTCATAATACAAATCAGAAGGTGAATGTGCACTAATAAAAGCTTTTAGTATTTCTGCGACACGTATAAAAATAAATACAGTGCGAGGATGGGAGCAAGTCAAAAAGGAACCTATCGTATGTGAGAGTTCCTTGGTGAAAGTCCGGACGGCGGTAACGTGTTTTCTCCGCAGTTTGGCTGCTACACGTGTTCCATGATTCTCCGTGG